TTAGATGGCTTTGAATCAACTGTTTGAATTAATTTACAACACTGTTAACAAAAACTATTCAAAAGACTATCATTTAAGTTTAGTGATACATACTGTTAAGGTCTTTGCTAAATAACATATGGACATTGTAGGGAGAAGTTACATGTTAATCACTTCTGTTGAATTTCTTCAAAAGGTCTTGTTTACATGGGAGATTTGTTGATCTATGTAAGGGACCCTCTGAGATTCTTTCTTTATCAGGGAGAGCAAAGAAAGAAAGAGCAAATGTGAGTATATGAAAGTCATATATTTGAACTGTGGATAAAGACGTGAATATGAAAGAGATCTTCGCAGTGATGAACACTACTAGAGCAGTAGTGAAAATGAGACCTGAAAAAAAATTCAGGCCTGTACGGAATTTTTTTTCAGGGCCTTATTTTCACTACAGCTCAAGTAGTGTTCATTACTGCGAAGATCTCTTTAATATTCACGTCTTTATCCACAGTTCAAATATATGACTTTCATATACTCACATTTGCTTAAACTCAGAAAGGTTGTATCTATGTTATCATAATAGCAAAAATACAGTAGTGAATGAAACATGCTCTTACCTTCTTCCATGACCTCTGCCTTTTTGTTCTTAGCTCCACCTTTCTTTCCAGATTTGCCATTTTCTTTATTCTTCTCATTCTTGTCAATCTTGAGTGAAGCCACCGTCTTCTGTGACTTCTTTGATTCTTCAAAGGTTCTCATTTTTGCAGGGGCTTGCGCTTCTAACTTGCTTCTTAATTCTGCTTCTTTGAGCAATCTGTTGAAATCTTCATTGAACTCATAATTCCTCATAATTCCTGCCTCAAGATCATCTTTGTATTTGTCCCTAAACTCTAGCTGGATGTCATTCAGTAGTTTGTCCACATATGACAGTTGTAATGTCTTCTGAAATGCAACCTGACGATAGAGGAGATGGATTGAAATTACTCATGAATAAAAATCTACATACTATTTTTCCTGTTACATTATAGTTTTCTGGTAAAGATATGAGAAGCTGACTCATCTCATGTGAGACTCTCATTTCATTACAACTAATTACAGGTCATGTAGGGGAACAATGAGGTCCCAAAGACCTCTTACAAAGTGGCTTCCCACGTACAGAAATGATCAATTCTGACGACACTCAGATGAGTTATTCAATGTGAAATTTCAATTAGGATGAGTCAGCCAGTCTTGTAATATACGCATCCTAATATGATCTTAACATGTGTACACTGAAAACTAAGGGTTCTACAAAAAGAACCTGTGCTAAGCCAGATACAAAAAACCACTATAAAAAACCACTCTTTACAAGAGGCTAACGTATTCCTGATCTAATGCAGCAGCACAATACCCTGAGGAAAGGGTAAACTAACCTGGTTACTTTACTAATCGCAAAGAAAACTCAATGAATGCGGTGATATTTTACAGGGACTTGGAAACAAAAATTACATTAATACAAAAAAAAAAAAGAAAAAAAGAAAGTAGTCTAACATAAGACTGACTGACCTAGAATGACTTAATTTTCCCACAAAACACCTAAATAATCCAAAACTTCCATGATGCCACATGAACCTCTTCCACTAATTCATTCCCATGTCACTCAACTGTCAGAAATTACATCTTGCAGCAGTTTTGTCTTTCAATGTTGCTCAACTAAACTAAGCCCCTTTCCTCGTCACAAAAATTGAACAAAAGAAGAACTAAAAAAAAATTTACCCTTCTACTTCACAAATAGATTTTAAGTTGCTATGCCTCTGTTTAGTAATAGATCACAGATGACTTTGAAATATGGTAAGAACAAAAAAGGGGCACATGAGACACAGGCGAGTGCATCACTGATATTCTTACCACATTTTGAGGTCTTCTGAAATCTATTACTGTACAGACCCATGGCAACATAGAATATATTTGTTTTATGTGACCAAAAAAAGCGAAATGTTTTTAATGGTGACATCATCCATGGGTCTCTCTTCTAACAGATCATGAGTAAGAACCACTCAAAACAGGAGTATAATTCAGCTTATCATATATAAGGAAATTCCTGCTTAACAACTCTGGTTTGTGCTCATGATGCTCACTCACACTGTAAGATTTCAGACTAACTGGACTTCAACCCCAAAACTTTTTACTTTCAACCACATAAAGAGCATGAAAATAGACTATGGCATCAACTTAGGTTCAAGATGTAAAATGAGGCTGGGCTGGTCAAAAACCCTCGCCGAAAAATGACTCAGATCAGCAAAGTATTAAAAAAAAAAAGAAAACAAAGACAATAAATTTCAGAGTTAATTCAAATTAATTTAAACAAAATAAAAAACAAAGGAAAATAGTTTTAAATTTACGAATCATACATCTACTTACAACAAACACCAATTCAAACTCATTGTCGAGTTTATATTTCAGCGTTAGAGAGCCGTGGGTGAATGAATTGCTCCCTCCACGTTCCTAAATAAGATCAAAAATACAAATTTGTCTTTCCCTTTCAAATAACACCCGGCCATGAAGCATCCAAAAATATTTCTGACTTGATACCGTGGTCAGATATCTACGAAAATCATTTGAACCGTCTGCTAAGTGAGCGGTAAAATATATTTCCCGTTTCGTAGAGCATCAACTTAAAGCTATGTACACCATTATAGGAAATCAACAAGCCGGTGAAAAGGCAAAATTCCTGGTTAAAGACTCACCTGTAAAATAACACTGCGAATGAGTTCATTGACTGGAAGTGTAAAGGATTGGCATGTTCCTTGAAAACACCAAAGAACGATGCCTCCTTTAGAAAATATAGTGAAAAGATCTAACATATCGTGACGTATTATTTCTTCAAAGTTTCGTTTCAAGATTAAAAGCTACTCCCAGAATGCATCAGAACTTCATCAACGATTCAACTTCGATCCCAGGCTACCTCTAAAAGGTTTCGAGAAGGTAAGGAGACGTACGTACTCACATGAATTTTCATGTTGTCTTCGGAGCTGCAATTCTTGTGATACAACTTGCGAGAGGCCTACGCTTCGCAAGTACTATATATACTACATATTACGAAGTACTACATATTCCCAATACTACCACAACACTGCTACTGCGTATGTATAGCCTTCGAGCATTGGCTCTTTCCGGCGAAGTCATTCGCACGACCCACTCCCTTAGTTTCGCGGGGCGTTGTGACATTATCGATCAACTTTTCTTTCGCCGTGTTTTTTTTAACTTGCGCCACGGACTTTCCCCAAAAAGAGGAACTAACTGTAGTCTAGCGTATATTAAGAGGTTATAAACAGTTTATAATCACTATATAGCGTATATACTATAATCTAAAGGGAATGTCAAATATATTTTCGATATTCGACTATCAGTCTATGACTGTCAACCTTAAATTCAGCATTTTCAATGGAAACGGCGTTCAAAAGAAAGGCTCACTGGGTGAATCGTGTGACCAGTATGTGAAAGGCATAGTTTGCGTTGTTTTGAGCACTCGATGCAATCTCAAAAGGACTTTCAAAGCACGCATAATAAAGGGTAAAAAAACTGGTAAAACTGTGATTTGATTTTTTGTAATATATTACATATATATATATGCAAATTTAGCCACATTTTTGTAATAAATATAAAGTGGTCTTAATACATATTTCCTCTCAATAAATTGTACAAACTACGAGTACTTACGTGGAAGAAACTACTTTGCGAACGTAGTGCTCGCGCAAGTTAGAAGTAATTTCTACAGGCTTATAAGACTTTGCACACATTATATTCCATTAAACCACATTAAGGCTCTAAGAATTTTGTCCTAAAATGTTCTAAAATCCAAGTCTTTTGGCCAAGGCAGAACATCACTCCATGCTCCTCTGTCTTGGAAGATTTTAATCCCGTGGGGAAAATATTCGGTTTTTCCACTCCTCAGTAAATGTTGCACAACGACTTATACCTAAGAATAACAACTTTTCTTTTTCGTCTTACGAAGCAAATGTTCAATTGTCCTCGGTGAGTACTTAAAATGGCCCATGACTATAAACAAGACAAGTGATGATTTTATTCTCTTTTTCCAAAACGTCTCCCGTTGCCATAAATGTAATTATTCTACTGCGATGACTGTGGAATAAAATGGTTTCCGGCAAATGTATGGCCAGCGTGTCTGTCTGTGATGAACAGATAGAAGGACCAGGTCATGGCTAAAACGTGGGTAAGTTTCTGAGGAAACTGTTGTGCTGCGTCGGTGGGAGAGTATAACAGGGTAATTTTGTATTATCAATTGAGTTGCTAACGTAAATTGGCCACTGTAAAGAGTTTAAAGACTGATGTTTCGAGCGTTAGCCCTTCGTCAGAGCGATTGGCGAAGGGCTAACGCTCGAAACGTCAGCTTTGAAACTCTTTACGGTGGTGGCCAATTAATGTTATCAACACAGTTGATAATACTAAATTACATGGCTAAAATATGATTGGCTGTAGGCTGACGAAGTTAAAGGTATGCCATTACCTTGACTACAACAATGTACACATCCACTAATGATAATCTTCATCGAATACAAACCACGACTGGTTCTTCAAAATCAACAAAAGTTCACCCTAACTTAAAATGCAGATGAAATTGAAGCTGACTCGTCCCAGTCTGTTGTCTCTACAGGAGTCCGCGCGGGGACAGATAGGAAGAGGAACAAGGGAAGTCCTCGTTTAACTTTTACGTTCCCGTCGTCCCCTGGAGCTGGCTCGTTCTAATCTCCACCACGCTACTACCACGCTACAAAAGTCGACTGAAGACGGGTAAAATTCAACCATTCAACTCTTGGAATCTAAAACGCACTACTTTTCTTTATATTTATCATCCTCTGTTTTTCGGAAAGATTTCTAGCAGTGTGTATCACTGACACATTCCGTCTGTACATTTCTCCCTACTGTAGGACTAGTAAGGTTGTTCGACACCAAATCCGTCAGTGAATGGTCCTGGAAAACGAAATTCATTACACCTTTAAAAAACAAATTAGAACACACAATTTTTTCCGTTAGCACTCTAGATAACAATACTCTCAAATGCTCTCACTCAGAGAATTTTTAATCTGGAAATTTTTTAATTAAGATATGTCATTAATCAAAGCTTCTTTGGTTGGGCATCACGTCCTTTATTCTCATCACCTTCATGTTTGATTGCGTAGAATCAGTGTAAAGAGAAATTAGATTCTGGTCACTCGTGAGGGTGTATTACGTCTCCCTGGTCACAAAAATTCTGTGGGCATAACTTCCTAATTTGAGACAAAGAACTCACACTGCAGCTTGGTGATATTCCTCTTTGCTTCATGCTCTCGACGCAGACTTTACGTAATTCCTCCACCTGATAATATTGCGCAGCTGCAAACAAGCCTGGCAGGAGACTGGGTCTTAGGTCACATGATCCCACATGAAGAAACTCCAGCAGGGCTTCAAACACGCCACTTTCAAACTGCTTCACGACGATAACCTGTAGAAGAGGAAACAAACACAATCCATTCAAAAGCTCTGCTGATACTTATTCATTTCCACACTTTATCAACGGTTTAATGTAGGCCAGCGGTATCATTGTACCTCTGCACTGCACTGCATTTTAGACGAAGCCATCGAACGCTCAGGATCTTTTCTGCTTTGAAGATCTGTCACTGATTCTAGGGTGACTCCCTCGTCATGGCTGTTGTCGCTTTCGCTTCGACTGCGTCGCAATTTCTCCAGGTTCATCTTCCCGCTACGCAATCCTGAGTAGCGGGTCTTGGAGGAGGTCGTGCGCCTCAGTTCAGGTGGCGCCGTAAACGAGCCTGCCCTGCTCACTGGCAGATGAGCATAAATATGACCGAGCTCTTGTGAAAACATCTTTAGAAAAACTCTGGAGGCAAAAAAGATAACAAGCGGTTTCATTTGCAATTGAAATAGACTAGAGCAATTTTCAGTTGAGTTTCGAAAAACCAAAATCAAAGTAATGGTTGAGAGAGTGGCGCGAGTTTTTGGACCAATCACAGAGCAAAGAAAAGCAAAACCAAAGCAATCATGGATTACTTTCGAAACTAAATTGAAGGTTGCTCCATCATGAAGACTTAACTTACACCTGAGCACAACGGACATTATATTGCGAGAAAAATAAAAAAAACTCTCAATTCTCCTTGTCCCTCATTTCCGGCTTTTCCCTTGCTTCCAGCCGTTTCTTATTCACCCTTAACTATGAGCTTTGAACTGCGAGAAACCTAGAGTGAAATAAACTGCATGGAAAGGGGAAGTCTCTAACTCATTCAAGACTTGTTCTAGGCAAGGGAAGCGATGCTCACTCCTGACTCACTTGCTCTTAGCTGACATAATTGACTTCACACCAATGTAACTTTTCTTGTCTGCCTCTTCTGTTGAGAAGCAATAAATTTATTACAAAATTCATAACTAAACCGTTTGACCCCTAACATCTAATATCTCCTTACAATATCATCCACGAATCACACATTAAGGTCATGAGAATAAAGGAAATGATCACCAAATAAAGAATCTCTTGATTGTGACACAAACTCTCCTTGTGAGCACTTTAGGAAATGTATAAAGAACAGTATGGAGAATACTCTGATGTTAGGGTCTATGGGATTAGAAAATGCTTGGAATACAAGAAAACTCATCAGAATAAATGATAATTAAAACAAAATCAAGCTTGAAGTGCCACTTTAACTTAACCCTTTAACTCCCATAAGTGACCAAGACATAATTTCTCCTCACAATGTCAATACGATATCAAGCAGACAAGTGATGAGAATATAAGAAAATATCAGTAAGGGGATTATAGGTTGATCCAACAGCAAATTCTCCAAACTAACATCACAATAACTGTATGACAGACAGTAAGGAGAATTACGGATGAGATCTTGGGAGTTAAAGGGTTAAAAATACTTAAAGAGAGGAGATTTTAATTTTGTTACCCTGCTAATCCCAACCTGGGAAGAGGGGGTTGAAGGCTTGGTGTAGGACTGGGAATGTCTTTACCATAAGAAAACATAAATTCTGCCTGAAATTGGGTGGAGAAACCAACTGCTTTGGTCTGAAAAAGGTTGAGAGTACAAAGATCCATGATGCTCAACCCATTCAAAATTGTCAAAAATACCCCTCCCCCTGTTTCCTCTACACCCCCTACACACCCCACCTCCTACTACACATTCATTACCTATTAGGAATACCACAAGGTCCCCTCCATCTTGTGTGACAGAGCAAACTGAACTGAAATCCCTGGACACCTGTGCCACAGTCATGTACTGATCAGGTGATGCCCTAGGTATAGCTGAGGTTTGAGATTGTGAATTTCTGACAGACTTCAGTAGTTCTCCCATGATGAGTGCTCTGGTCCGCGCCTGTAAGGACAACAACACCAACTTGATTGATGCTAAGCTGATAATCTCCATAAACTAATCAATGGTAGAGTATTGTGGGCAAGGTGCATAAGATGTCCAAGTGCTGCAACTTGATGTGCAAGCAAAACATGACCAAGCAACAAGAAAGAAATGACCTGAGGCCAGTTGTTCAAATGCAGATTAGCGCTAACCCAAGGTTGAATTTTAATCTGGGTTTCTTTATTCCTTTGTTTAAAAGCCTTTAAGGATAATTTTCTCTATTCTTTGTAGAAAATCTAGTAATCATAATCTCAACAAATGAATTGAATTGAATTTTCTTTTAAAGCTTTCAGATCTGAAATCAGATTTAACACTTCTTCTAGGTTGTATTAACCCAGCGTTGAACAACCTTGCCCTGACATCTAGAGAGGAGATGAAACCCCCCCTCCTCCCACTCCCAAAAAAAAAAAAAAAAGAAGCCCTGCAAGGAAAGGTGATCCCCTCTCATCCATTCTTATCTGAAGTTTTTATTCACATGAATGGCTTCCAGATTCCTTTCAAGTTTTGTTATACTTATATACATAGGGTAGAATTTCCAAGACTTGTGAGAGAATGCAAGTGTAATTACTGAGTACATCATTTGTCAAATTCTCCCATTAAAAGTTGGTAACCAGACTATTTCTCGTCTGTAAGGCCTGTTTTTTTAAATCCATCAAATAACATTACCCCAACATTAGGAACTTTAAGCACTCACATGTAACTTAGCAAAGCTGGGTGACCTGTGACATGCTTGTTCTCCTTGAAATAACTTTTTAAGGATCCATACTCTAAACTCATCTCCCTGCAATCCAACAATGGTCAAAAGGAAAAGCACAATCAAATGACCCACGCAACTTTTCTGAAGTGGAAATGTTGTCAGAAGTCTATCAGCCTTGTTAAAATACATTTGCATGTACAGCTCTTGACCTCTCAAACTTTAAAGGTGATCAACATAAATGTTTTCCTCACTTGAGTGGCACATTATTGTCAATAGAGGTGATGAGAATGATGGAACTAATAAACAAAGAGTTATTGCTCTTCAACAAATTCTTTAACCTACTGCTTTAAGAAGATTTATAGAGACTTCACAAGAATTTTCATGTTGACTTTGAAGGCTGGATAAAGCCTGCTAATTCCCTTTTATTAGCCAATGAGAGACCTTAATCTTTTGTAATTCAAATAAATTTGAACACTATATAACTGTAGAATAAATATATCACATGGACTCTGATTTGTCAAAAATCTATCATTTGTTAGAAAGGTATACCAGTGGTTACTTTTAAACCAATAGACCACTGGTTTACCAATGGAAAAAAGTATTTTGGGTAGTTAACCCTTTAAATTCTATAAGTGATTAACATGTAACTTCTCCCTATAAAATCTACACATCATCCAGCCAAAATGTAATGAGAATACTCAAACTTATCAAGAAGTTAGTAGTCATGATCTAACACCAAATTCTCACAATTGACTTATAAGGAAATGTGTAGCAGCTAGAGTAGAGAATTAAAAATCAGATCTTGGGAGTTAAAGGGTTATGAGAAGACTTGAAAAGCTGTCACTGACTTCCTTTTGAGTCTTGATTACCAAACTTTATTCACATTTTCCCAACAACCTGCAAGGGTCATTACTTAACAGGAGTAGTCTAAATGTTGAGAAATATATTAGAAATTAATTTAAAAAGTAAGAATACCTTATCAAATATATACTTGTCATAAAGAGGTGGGCCATATGGTAACACACCACTCCTTGACACCACTGATACCTATAACAGAATAAGCACAAGTGTATACATATGATTCAAGTGACACTCAGTCCTGTATATTAAAGGGGCAAAGCAACTTGCGGAATAGAGCACAATGCCACTCACTGTGTAACTGTCTGGATTGTTTTCTACATCCACTTGAACAATAATAAAAGTATGCAGAAAGTTTGATTTAATGCAGTCAGGTACAAACTTGGTACTTGTTGCTTCCATGAAGATGATGCAAACTATGTCATTTCCAATGTGCCTCTTTCTCTGAAGCTGTAAAAACAAAGCAATTAGTATGTGTCAACAAAGCTGAGTGCCATTATAATTACTGCCAAAATTCTTAACACTCCAGATAACAAGGTTAATAATGCACATGAAAAAATTATGCACTTCTGATTGGCTAAAAACAAGTGCATTCTTATGCAACACATGTGCAAAGTTTAACACAAGTGCAAATTACAGATAGCCCACACACACTTTCAGAATTTTGCCTGTCTTTACTCTTTCTGATGTTATTTCATGTACATTATAACAAGTAAAAAAATGATATCTCTTGCAATTTGGCATAATAGGCACTTGCAAATTTTTCAAAGACTAGAAATTGCACTTGTACAGTGGGCTCATGCAATTCTGTTGTCTTTGAAAATGTATCCCTGCTTAATAACACCAAATTCCACTTAAAATCATGTTATTACCTATACAAAATAGAGGCATGCATCAATAAGTGCCTCCCTAATGCACATGTCTACCTGCAGGGTGGTACACTAAAAAAAGGAGTCTACTTAATCCTTCAACTCCCATGAGTGACCAAGACAGAATTTCTCCTTATAACATCAATACAACATCAACCAGATAAGTGATAAGAATAAAGAAAAATATCAATTTGGGAATAACTAATTGATCCAATACTAAATTCTCTGAACTAACATTATAAGAATTGTTTGATTGACAGTAAGGAGAATTACAAATTTGATCTGGGAATTAAAGCATTAAGATGTACAGCCATAGAAGGCATCCATCTACTAGAGAAGCCCTCTAAGGAGGTGTCCATCTCTAAGGACCAACTACTGGGAGGAGCATCCTCCTGTATAAGATGTCCACAAATATAAGGTTTTAAAATACAGTAGGTATCTACTTCACATGGGTGTCAACCTACAGGAGGTGTCCATTAACCCTTTACACCCAACATCAGTATGACATCCTCCATACTGTCCCCACATTTCCTGAGGTGCTGACAAGGAGAATGTGTTTAACAAAGGAGAGCGTCTTTAGTTGGTGATCATTTCCTTTATTCTCATGATCCCAATTGAAGGAATCAGCAATATTATTGTCTGGAGAAACTAGAAACCAGAAACTGGTCACTCTCAGGGTTTAAAGGGTTGAGGACAAATGTCAACCTACAAGTGAAAGCCATGTAAGAGGGCTGCCTAACTACGGTAAATGTCCTTTAGCAAATATTTAACAAAATACCTTCTGAGAGTCAAATTCTTCAAATGGCAGAAGAGTTGACACATGGAACATGACCTCGCTATTACAAAACTTGGTAAACACAGAATATTTTCCAGTCAGATCATTGTTGCCATCCAGTCCTCCCCGGTACTTGTCAAAACCTTTCAGTCTGATTCTTTCACCCAACAGATTCAAAAAGTCATCGAATGCTTTGCTATGAGTTTCATTACCAAGAAGCTGTTCCTCAGTTTGCTGTCCTTCCTTCATGTAAACCACACCAAATTTGTGGGCTTGCTTGTTGAATGCCTGGAAATTTAGAAATTAATTTCAATTTTTTTTTTAGTCATCCTTAACCTTTATGATCAAGTTGGCTTCCCCAAGGAAGTCTCTGAGTGCTTGCTACCATAAAATTAAGTCATACAATCTATAACTCCGACAATGTAGCCTTATTAAAGCTGTAAATACAAATTTAACCCTTTCACTCTCAAGATCTGATTGTTAATCCTCCCCTCAAACTGTTACACATTTCCTTGTGAATTGGTTCTGAGAACATTGTGTTGAATCATGACAAAAACTTCAATCTGATAAGTTTGAGAATTCTCATTATCTTTTTGTTGTATAATTTATAGATGTGATAAGGAGAAGTTACTTGTTAAACACTTTGGAGAGGTAAAGGGTTCACTCACACTGTCCATCTTGAGGAGCTCTGCTGGTACTGAAGGTATTGTAATCAGCTTCACAGGGGCTTTAATATCAATTTGTTGACTTATAAAGTGTACCACATCATCTCTGCTTGAAAGACTGACTTGGTGACTTGAGCAAGAGAGCAGTCCAATGACAAGATTGTGGGCTGAGCGGACCATTATCCTTTTAGGAAGGATAGAAGCATAAAACAATTAGGCCCAGTTGTATAAAGGGCGGATAATGCTATCCAATGGAAAAATCACTATCCAGGGGATAAGTGATAGCAAAACGTAAAGCATTATTCATCGGATAGGGTTTTATCCAATGGATAGCATTATCCAACCTTTGAACAACCAGTGCATAGTAAATAAAATTTTGGAAATGAAAATGTAGCTGTCACTTGAAATTTGTTTTCAGAGATTAAGATTAATTAATTACAGTGAAACTTTTTTTTACCAGGTCAAGAAATTTTGGTATATTATATATTTTTCATGAACTAGATTACTCTCCTGTAAGTTGAAATTAAACTGTTGATGTTAATGTGACTTAAATGCTATAGTAATGGAGAAGTTCTCTCAAAACATAGTATTGACAACATTTCAGCTCATCCAGTGAACAAATTAATGATCAAGGTCTGATTTCTAAAAACAATTATTTTAAGACATGTGGAAAAATAATTAAAAGGGGATTTTTAGCATAAATGATGTATCATATTGTCTCAAATAAGTTTTTACAATCTATTCATGTCAACACCTTATGTGCTTTAATTATTCATACAGATCTAGAGCACCTCAAGCACTAAATCATATGATAGATAATTCCCTTACCATCTGTAGGTGGTCATAATTAAATGCAACACTCAACACCAGACATTTCATTGCCAGATAAGTGATGAATGAAAGTTAGATTAAGGTTAATTAAATATTTTACCAACTGTTTACCTTATGGCTGAAGATACATGTAGATATTTATGAAATGTCAGTAAAACCATTAAAATAAACTTGGCAACCACATAAAATAACAGGATTTAAATTGGCTTAGAACATGCCAAATGAACTGGTAAAATGAAACCTTCCAAAAAGTCAAAGATCAGATTAAAAGTGATACATCTGTCTTTTTGGATAAGGCACGGACACATTCAAGGGCTGATATTATCGAGTTTCTTTGCGTAGAGGAAATGACCTTCCAATGGATCATTTTCAGGTTTAATTTCAAATAAAATGAAAGGCAATTGAAATGTTGTAAATTTTGGGAGTTTCGAAAAGTTATGATTTACCGAGAAAAACTTGATAAACATGTGACGTAATTTACGTAATTCACGCCTGGTCCTGTATTTATTTGTTATTCTTGTCAATGTGGTTAAATTTAAGAATAGTCATCGTCAAAATGCAAATCAAAGCACAAATTAGGGAATTCGCCTTCAGTTAAAGGTATTACAGTGTAATAATGATACAATATTTTACCTGAATGATCCCTTTGAGTGTGGGTTGGTTACTTCGGGTTTCAACGTAATTATTACTGCGCCAATGTCTTCATCATTTGCGCAGTAGTTCCAATGTTTCACACCGTAGAAGGAATATTTGTAGAATTCCTCAGGGGCGACTGCACTAGTGACATGGTTACTAGCTTTGGTCGATCCAACGTCAGAGTAGGTTTTAAATCGATTTTCGTGGTATTGCGTGAAGGTCTCCTTCTTGGAACAGAACTTTTCAATGCACTCCACATGGTACCCACTGACTAAGTGGACATATTTCGGGTCGCTGCAACTACACACGTAGTCAGACAACTCCTTCTGAATATCATTTACCATGGCTTCATCCTCTAGAGCTGCTTTTAAAGCAAGGCTTCTCGCTTTGAAGTCTTTCAATGCCCGTATAAGTTCTCCATTCGGCGAGTTATCATCGTCCGTTTTGCACCAAGTGAATTTCTCCGCAGCAGTGGCAGAACGCGCCGAACAAACAGTTCCGTGGTGATGACACAAGAAGGGCTCAGATTCAAATCCATCTGCGTTTAAAGAAGGATTATCGTTGGGAGAAATAGCCTGATAACCCGACGCTCCGCTCGATATCTCCAGGCTGGAGTTACTCTCAACAGAAGTTCCCGCCATACTTACACAAATTCACTTAGTCAGCTGCCATAATTACATTCAACAAGCACGGGCCGGTTGTCACTCTTTGCCTTTCCTCTGGAACGAAAGACAAACAGCAGGAAACATCTCTTTCCCTAAGGACCTTTTCAAGCGCTTAGCCAATTAACTCTTCTTTGCAACTCATTACTGACATATTGTAGAACACTATAGGTCAACAATCGCTCTGTGTGCGAAAAATGAAAAGTAGGTCTCTTTCGTTTCATAATCCTGGGCTAATTTGCTTCTCTTTAGGCAAGCAGGTTACCTCATTAAATAGTCATGAGAGCTATTGTTCCGTTTCAGCTGCATGTCAGCTGTCCTCTAACAATAATAGACCGCGATGATCTCTGTATATTCCGTCCAGTGACAGGCGACAACCAATGTCAACAACCATTGTCCTGTGAATCACGATAGACACGTTATCTGAGCACCAAGTATAAAAAGCTGTCTGTTGCTGTGAGGCTTCCACACCGCAAAGCCTTTTCCGATTGTAAAAACTAGCGTTTCATACATTTGACTTGAAGAATAAAGAAATATTTCCGACAGATGCTTATAGCTGTGGCACTATATCCTTGGACAAGAGCCAGCACATTGAAGGACAGCGGTAAACCACACAGCTTGAAATGATTTGTGGGAAATATTCATTATGGCGGATGGCAACGCAGAAGACGGTGCGAAGGGACAATTTCTGTTCTGCATTATTTGCCGTATAAACCACGACCAAGGGAGAAAACATATTTACTCAAGAAAGCATAGGACCTTGCTTAGCCAGATCCTGATTAAATTTGGCAAAAAGGTGGGCTGATATGCAAAGATGCAAGTGTTTCTTCTTTATCACATTTTGAAAATTAATTTATTGTTTTTTTTTATCTCGCACCTCTCTTCCCCTTATTGTCAAAGTTGATTTCAGTATCCTATGATAAAAGCACCATGAATGGTTGATCTGTTGCTAGCACCTCTTTTCCCCATGGGGGGAGAACAATGTCACTAAATTGGGAATACTCACCTGATCAAGGTTAAACCTGGGTAAAAGTGTCACAAAATTTTTATGTTTTACTTTTTTTTTTAGGTTGACGAAGCCAGAAGGTTTCTGAAGAAACCATCTGTTGAAGATGGTGAGTTAGAGCCAGGGTCAAGATTTTGGTGTCACTTCTGCAGTGAGAATGTTAATAAACATGTCACTGATAGAGAAGTTACTATCAAGTATGGTGGACTCTTTGAACACTTTGCAAGGTATTAAATCTTTCCCAGACAATGATATTTTTACATCTGCATATTTCCATGCTTTTTCAATGATTATAAAAGAGACTGCATTTATCATTTCATAAAGAGGTGTCTTTGATCTTGTGTGAAAATTAAAACCAATTTTGAATTCCTAAGACTTGTTTAGAGATTAAAATCTGTCATAGAAACTAAGATTAAAACAATTCTGAACACCTCACAATGGGAATTGCTATATCTACCTGTCCTCATACTGGTTTGCAGTTACTTTTTCATAATGTTTACCAACTTCTGTCTCAGTACATAATAAACTGAGCCATCTGTGATCGAGCTGACAGAGCTGGTACTTTAGTGCTGTGCAGTTTCCCAGTGAATCAAGATAAAGTTAAAATCACAAAGAAACTGAGCCACTCCTGTAAATGTCCTCCCAATTTCAAATTTTTTTTATTCTTTGGTCCCCATATTTTTTGCATAATTACATTCACTACACCTGTTTGATATGAAGAATTGATCTAATGCCTCTTTTGGAAATTGTGATACCTCAAACGACTGGACGTACTCTAGAACTTACAGATTGGTTCCTCCTCTTACTTTTGTTCTAAAAAGCAGAGTAAAAGTTGCTAGAATGATAGATTTTGTATTTTATCTCTAGTGAGAATCACAGCAAAAATCTTCATAAGTACTGGTGGGAAAATGGAGCAGACAAAAATCTTAAAGAAAAGTTCTTAATCAATAAAGAGAAGTTTAACAGGTTTGTTCTTTGATTCTGGTGAATTCCATGGACTAGTATTTTTATTGTATTTTTGTATGATTACAGTGTATGTTTAGTTATTATTTATCATTTGGGAAACACCAGAGTTATGGATAAAACTTGTTCAGCATACTCATTAAAGACACTCAGGTAATTATTTTCATTCTTTGTAGCTACAAAGAAGAGGTCAACAAGAAACTCCAGGAATTTGAAGCTGCGATGGAACAAAAGAGATTAAAGGTCAGGACTTTAAATAATAAGTCTCTTGACCATTTTACAATTTAAAGTTTGCCAAATGACAACTTAGGTTAGTTTTGTGTTAGGAGCCCTGACACACTGGTAAAATCAATTTCCATGAATTGTCTTCAGTTTGAGTTACATTTGCATTGTAATGAGAAGTCTAAAATGTCTAAGGTTCAAAATGTGAGATTTTTTGGTAAATGGACTGTTTTAAGAAAAAAGACAAGTCTTAACAAAACACTTACATGGTTTTCCAGGTAAGTTCAGTAGATTTTCTTGCTAAGGCTCTAGACAAGTTCCAATCCACAGGCTTAATTTCAGGTTTTTTTTTTCAGGCCTGAAAATAGCAGCATTTTATATACTCACCCATCTTGCAGGCCTGAAAATAGCAGCATTTTACATACTCACCTGTCTGGTGGTTTTAATGTTCTGCAAATTTGTATTACAGTATTTCTCTCTTCATTATCACCAGGCAGTTTCCCAGATCAAACGTAGAGAACTCCTTCAAGCTCATACAAGCCAACAGGTCTGTTTTTGAGGCAGGGTAACTGACTGATGTATCCTGATATTGATATAATGTCACACACAAGAGTTAAATTTAGATATAGTATACTACTTGTTTGTTCATGTCTTAAGAAAGAGTCATATCAATCTTTGATGGTGACATTTCAAGCAGTGTTTAATGATTGTGTCTCAATATCTATAGCATTTTGGTTTCCTTTTGTTGGTGCATTCCAGTGGGCTGTAGTTGCTACATACAGCACATTCTCCCTACTGTGCTCTAAACATTTCCTAAGGTGCTGACTTAAGTTGGTGATCATTACCTTCATTCTCATGACCTTAATGTATGACTCAGGGGTGCTATTGTAAAGAGAAATTAGATGCTAGTCATTCTTTGGAGTCAAAGAGTTAATTAATGGAAGTCAGAGGCTTGAAACAAGAAAATCTTTGTGAAGAAGGAAGGAGTGGAGTGGTTTTGAGTAAAATGAAACATTCCTGTCAATATTTTTTACACTTGGTTAGAAATTTACTTTTTAAGCTTCTTGTGTTGTTGAGTTGATACCAGGATATAGCCTTTACAGTAACTGTCGTTGTAAAGTTGTCCTAATGGGAACACCAAACATGTCTGTGTTATTTTGTATTTGGTGTCGTTATTGTTTCCTGAATATTTAAACAACAGCCACCAGAAATTCAAGTTACACCTGAAGTTGTCTACAAAACAGTACAAAATGAACAAGGAATTCTTCAGAACCCCACTGGATGGTTTGTAATAAAATACAATAAAATTTTGACAAAATGTATTTTTCCGCTTCATGGAACTGCCTAATTCTGCAGACAAAAATCAATGCAATTCTTCTGTTATGTTTATTTAATTTCAAAAAGATACTTTTATTTACTGGTAACAGGTAATAGTCATGAATGGAACTCATGATGTGCTTGCACTTCATGCACTGTGATGATCATGGGATGAGCTTGAGTTTAATTTGTTTGTATAAAGGCTAAACTTTGCTTTGATCAGCCAAAAAGCTCAACAAAAAGCACAATCTAGTATCATCAACTGAGTTGATAACATAAATTGGCCATCATAAAGAGTTTCAAAGCTGATGTTTCAAGTAATAGCCCTTCATCAAAGCAAAGGGCTAATGCTCGAAACATCAGCAGTGAAACTCCTTACAGTGGCCAGTTTATGTTATCAACTCAGTTGATAGTACTAAATTACTCTGCTATAGCTGTGTTTGGGAAGATAATTTATTGAGTTATGTTATTGTGGAATTTAACGATTGAAGATGCTACAAGTATAATTACATGTATCTGTGTAGGCATGAAGGACAAAGAGTGTGGGGTGGTGGAATAGTAAAATACAGGTAACAGTATTTGTGCTTTATACATATTTAATACATTTGTAAATAGGAAAGGAATTTCTTGGATAAATGATTTCAGAAATTTCACTCATCATAATCAATAGACTTTTCCTCTAGGATAAAAAAGGAAAGGAAAGAAATAAAAGAACTTTTATTATACCCTTTACATGCTGATATTAATATGCATATTCTCGGTAAGGTTTCCCATAGATTTTGTTAGGTGCTGATAAGGAGAATTTGTTAAACAATCAAAAGCTTCTTTAGTCAGTGATCATTTCCTTTATTCTCATGACCTTTATATGTAATTCAGGGGTAATATTGTAAAGAGAAGTTAGATGCGAATCACTCTTATGGGTCAAAGGGTTAAGGAAGTCTTTGCTACTGTTCACCGTGAATCCTCATTTCATATGTTCTAAGACTTCTTTTTATTCAATTTTATAAATTACTGAATTAGGAATGGGTCACACAAAAGTTAGCACCACTTTCATATTTCTCATAACACGCTTACATTATTTCCGAAATTGAAAAATGCTTAAGTAAGAAATGCAAAACAATGGTTATGCCAAATTTTGGGAGGCAATTGAAGTGCACTTTGGGAGATGTGGAGATGATGAATAACTGTAATTTACGAACTCTTAATTTTAGTTACTGTAATTCACATGGTTTTTATCATTTTGGTTCTCACTAAACTAGAAAATGTACTTATTGTTTTTAGACCTGGTTCAAATCAGTGGTTTCCATGGAATATGGATTCAATTGATAAAGGCTCTAAAGGTTTGACTTGTGTTGGGCAATAATTCATTTATAGACTCAAAGTCATAGTGTAACAACCATGATCTCTGGGTGGTCTTAGCATGTCGTCTCTCTTCTTCCCACCATACATACAGGGTGCCCTGCCCTTCTTTCAGTAACATAAGAAGATTTTGGGTAGGGAAGAGAGGTCCATATCCCTCTCCAATTTTCTTTAGGTGTTGAAGGGTTTGTTTCAGTTTTTAAGATAGATTAATGTAGGTTATTCAGTGATATTTATGTGAAGTTAAGTTGTGTTCTCCCCATAGTTGTTGGCTCCTTTTTATGAATTGTCTGGATCCACCATGCAGTCCTTTTTTTCAAATTGTGGGTTATGAAGTTGGGTGGTATCTAGTAGTAAAATATTTTCTATATTGTTTATTCAAGGTGTTCAGTCTACTTGTGCTGGTTCAGATTTGGTTTACCCTTTTTGATATAGCAATCATTTTGTAGTCAGAAATTTATATTTCTTCCTAAACATCATGATAGGATTGACTCATGAATATTGTGCTCCATATCCTGTTTTGTGCATGTAGGTTCTCCCCTTTCAAATGGTGTCATAACAAAAACAAGGTTCCAAACAGCTGAAGCTTTTGGAGAGAATCTTACTTGCATAGGAATTCCGGTACTGCTCTGCACCTTCTGTATTAAAACATTACCCCTGTACACCTGAAAAATATTAGTATATATGTTCTCCACACTGTTCTATATACTCTTCCTAAGGTGCTGACAAGGAGAATTTGTCAAACAATCAAGAGATTCTTTAGTTCATGATCATTTCCTTTATTCTTGTGACCTTAATGTATGACTCAGGGGTGATATTTGTTTGGAGAAATTAGATGCTAGTCACTCTAAGGGGTTAAAGGGTTATAGACAATTAGATGGATAAAAAAAAAAATTTGTAGCTCAGTTTTCTTCCTGGTGGTTCATCAGACTATGGAAATTACCAAATTATCTGGCTACTGTGCAAAGTATTCCCCATTAATTTTAATTGCCTGATTAAATGTTTTATTTAGCGGTTGACTATTTCACTCACAAGATCTCATTAGAAATTCTTTTTACTGTCTTAGTTTGGAGAATTTTGTATTGGATCAACTAATAATCCCCTAATTGGCATTTTTCTTTATTCTCATCACTTGTCTGCTTTATATCATATTGATGTTATCAGGAAAAATTCTGTATTGGTCACTCATGGGAGTTACATTAGTATAACAGTATAAATTGTTAGAAATAAAATCTTTTGAATTTTTTATCTCCATGCAGGAACTTAAGGAGGGAGAAGGAAATATACACACAGGTTAGACCGAAACACATTTGTTTGCAGAGAGTAAAGTGAATAATTTTCTCAGTGGGAAAGGCAAGGAAATTATTTGACACTTTTCATGGAGCCTGAGGAGATTTTTGTCTCAGTATTAGTCGTGAGGTGATGTTCTGTGCAAGAACATTTATTTTGCACTTCCCTCTTCAAAAACATTAAAAAAAAAGTATCACAGCATCTATGTGATTAGAGCAATCTTTGCAATCAAGTGTAAAAAATGCAGAAGGGTGTGTTGGCCATTAGTGAGACTTGAAAATTGCCATATCAAGGTTGAGCTCTTCAAAATGAATTTCTTTGTATATATATTTTTTAATTTTTTGGTTTATGTAGGTGCAACACCCCCGTGGCTGAGAGATGATAATGATGATGACGACGATGATGATAACAAGGTGTGTTTAACCCTTTCATTCCCGAGATCTCATTTGTAATTCTCCATACTGTCTACCATACAGTTCTTATGATATTAGTTGGGAGGACTTGGTATTGCATCAGCTAATAATCTCCTACTTGATATTTTTCTTAGTTGTCATCACTTGTCTGCTTGATATTGTCTTGATATTGTGAGGAGAAATTCTGTCTTGGTAACTCATGGGAGTTAAAAGGGTGAAGCCAATTGGTGCCAGAAATTTATTTCAAAAAACCTAAAACTAGTTGCTTTGACAAGAGCCTATCCTATGGTCTTCTGATTTAAATCAGGAGCACCCTATTACAGCTATTCATTAACAGATACTCATTTTAAAATGCAGGATAGCAGCACTGCAAGTGATGTTGTCATTGGTCCATCTTATGATGCTTTTAAAAAGCATGGTATGTACATGAAATGCTATAATGAATTTCTTTCAAAGTGCTATTGTTCCTTGCATGAGTCAGAGTACCTCGTAGCTGACATGATTGTTGAAACGATGGCACACATTTAAAGGTATTCAATGATTCATATCAGCTGGAGGTTGATGGAGAGGAAATACGTGTAATACTCGGCAGCTTCACCTATCCCCAGTCAAATCGCAGCGTAGAAAACCTACTTGAGACGAATGGAAATGGAACGATTTCCATAGGGTGAAGAAAGTTATCCTTGATTTCACAGATTCTCTTTCATTACGCTCGGTGATGGGCTCAAAAATCTCTCGCTATTTTTCCTTAACCAATAAAATGCAAAATGACAAACAACTGAATGGGTCACTCAGGTTTTCCCGTGCTTCAGAGTGGCTGCTTAGGATTACTTTGAATTCACATTGGCTCCCTTTGAAATTTTCCCATACTCTGATTGCTCATTTTGGTAACCTTTGTTTTAGCATTTTAAATGTTTAAAAACATTCTAGAGAAAAGAAAGCGCTTTACGATACCTATGGCTGTGGCTACTGCTTCTAAGAGTCATTTTCATGAGATTAACAATATAATTCAATTTTTCTTGGAATTTTTTTTTTTTCAGTGGAGAAAATGAAAAAAATAAATCACAAAAACCCACAGCGAGTTGGCGCAAACTTTGACCGGAAAAGAGAGACAAGTGATGACTGGTAGGTTTATGAATTGTTACAGATGAAATGCAACCAAAACTCTAAGGTAGGTGCTCAAGATTATTCAAATCTCTTCCACTTCTAGCGAAGATTTTTGTGTGGTGCGTTCGCTCTCAAATAGCATTCAGTTTTTACTTTGCTTTTGTATTTCGTTTACTTCAGTTCGTTCCTTCTGAAATTGCGTCAAGCCAATTTCTTTGGTGTGTCAAAAGTTGTCTTGAATTTGATTGGTTTTGCTTTAACAGTTGTCAATAAAGTGTCTAAAGTACTCCGGGATTGCATTAGTTTTGCTTCACTTCGCTTTGTGATTGGTTCAGAAAACTTGCACCACTTTCTCAACCAATCACATGGAAACCAAACTTGGTCGCCCGCATTTTTCATCGCTTTTGGCAGTTTGGTTGTTTAAATTTTCTTCGGCTCTTAGATGTTTTTTTCCTTTCTTCTGAGTGGCCCTAGTGATAACTTTTGTTTTGGTTTTACGAGAGTCAATCATGAAGGGCTTTTTTTCCCTCTGTGATTGATCTAGGAAGGTTGTGCTCCCCCTTCACCCATCAGATTCGGAACTAAAACCAACCGCGACTCTCCTACTCTACAGGCAGTTTATTTGGTTTTAGTTTTAGTGGAGAATTGACCGCTTCGGATATTTTCCCTTGTTATTATTGGCCCTTGCGATTACTTTGGTTTACGACTCTCACTTGAAATGTGCTCCAAAGCGATGACACCTTTTTTTAGTTTTTTCTTTTTTCGTTGTTGTTATTTTCTTGTCATTTCAAGAACGTTCTTACGCCGCTCCATACAACCTGGTCAGCGGGGCGTGCTCGGTTCATGATGTTCCACCTTCGGCTCATCACTCTTTTGACATGACGGGATCAATTTTTTTTGTTTTTTTTTTTAATCTTAAAAACTAATTTCGTTTCTAGAGATGAAACTAGAAAGATCACGTCTCACTCATGGCTTCTCGTTCTTGTTTCATCCTGTAACCGCGCTGAATTTTTCCTTCTGGATATTATTTAACATCTCAGATCTCTAAAATCTCAGCTCGCTAACGGGGGTGAAATTACCTCGTAAACGAAACACAAACTTGATGGGAACTAGTTTAATATGTAGATCACTATTTATTACTTTTGTTTAAGGTTGCCTTCGTTTGGCAGAGTGTGGAATCATGGCCCACGCTGGCAGTCAAGGTAAGCTTAGAAGATATCAAGATGTTAAGATGTTGAAGATGTTCGTTTTTCCCTTTTTCTTAACTTCCTCCCTTTTTTTAACAGACATGACTTTCGATGGGAGAACAAAAAGGCAAAGAAGAAATGAAGAAATAACATGATTTGAATAAATTCACCTGGAATGGAAACAGGCGTGATTTTTGACTAATGATTTTTTACTTTGATCTGGAGTCCACACCCTTCCGAAATGAAATTTAATGCAACGTAACATCACTGTACTTTTTCGAAATGAAAACCATCAAGAATAATCTTCTAAAAAGCTTTTAAAGTAAAATAAAGGAGATAATTGATCTTTTTCAAAAGCATCATTGACAGGATCCAGTTAATTAGGTAGATCACATGCAACGTAACCATTCTTGTACAGACATCACGTTTCAATTCCTCAAACATTCGTTCGCAGGAAACACTGTTAAACACGTTCGCAGTGTCGCGTGATACGGGAACAGCCAGTCATGAGGAATCAACGAAATATTTGCGCCCACCACATAGAAAAAAAATTTCTAAAAAATTCTTGTGGTGAATTTTTATGAGTTCGAAGACATTACGTCAATTTATTGTCTTCTCCCCCCTTTTCACTCCCCCATCTTGTCCGTCTTTAAAAAAAATAAAAATGAAAATGATGGGTAAGTTGAGTCAATTTTTGGTGAATGGGTAAAGAAACTGCGGGGCTGCGTCAGTGGGGGGTATCACAAGGTAATTTGGCTTTATCAACTGAGTTTATAACATAAATTGGCCACCGTAGAGAGTTCAGAGTTCTTCAGTTCATTAGTTTGGAACGTTAAATCAATCAACCTCTGATTATCACCCCTGTCGTTGTGCCATCGTTATCGTCATCATTTCAGTGAAGACTATAAATATTGCACATCGATGCGCACTTCAGTACTTGATATAGCCCATCGAATGCTACAATCTGTATTCTTTTATTAAACAACCTATTCATCAATATGGCTGTTTTCTCCAGCAAACAAGGCTGATATGCATTTCGCTAAACGAATAAATTTCGCTTAACGGTGATTGTCAAGTCTCGCTAAGCTAAGAGCTTGTCATAGCAACTAGCTGATTATCGACTCAAATTTCCATGACAGTGAAGAGCTGAGTCAGAGCAGATAAAATAATCTGGTTGGGTGCAAAATTGAATACGGCAAAGTGAATGCATCTTTAGCTCATTTTAATTCCATTCCTCTTCTTTATATTTCCGCTAGAGCTACGTACTCTAAAGCTCTCTCCCTCTGAGTTCAATTACTTCGCGACGATTCTTTTCATCCAAGTCGAGTTTTTGTTCTCCGAGTTTTTGTTCTCCGAGTGTTTTGACAGGCATTGATTAGCCAGGTTTTGGTCAGTGGGTAGTAAAACTTTCCCGCCCCAAAAGTTTAAAGTGCAGAAAAAAGTGGGAAATGTTGAGACCTATGGTTTATCACATGCATGAGATGGAGTGGACTAGTGACCAATTTGCTTTTTCTGACATATAACTACAATCGTTACTACGTGATATTTGTTATAAATTTTATAGCAGGTGAACCATCTGCTTTTATTTCGTAGACTCTTTTTAGTACTTAAATTTCAGCTTATCTCGGGGTTTCTCGGGATATGAGAACACCGCAACTGTTTTTTTTTCAATTTTTTTCCACGTGAATGATCACAGAAAAATCGAAAAAAAAATTAATTGAACTCTTTCAACTGAGCCTTTTTGAAAGGAAAAGCAACGAATCCACCAAAATCACGTGCTTTTTTCACATGTTAGTACACGTGATTGACCTGACCCTGCACTTTTGATGGACGGTTTCCAACGGTAACGAAAAAGGGCGCTGGAAAGGAAGCCGCGATGACGTACCTTATCATGTGATGTTCGTTGTCCTCGTGGTCAGTTTCGTCGCTTCTCTCTTCTTGTTCACATGACCAGTTTGTTTGACCCCATGACCACGACTCCGCACTCCAGTTCTCCAACTCTGGACATGCTCGACGGGTCTTTGGATCCAGAGAAAAATTCACCATTACAAGATCCCAAAACCACCGATCCAACACAAGTGCCGGAGCCAGAAACAGTGACAGTGACAGTATCGACTGTTTCCGAAGAGCAAACGGCAGCTGCTCTTGTAGGACAACAAGCGAACGCTGCTTTCGGTGATCCAGGCACCCTTCAGTTCCAATACAGAACAGACGCTACTGGTGTACAAACTACGGGATTTAACGGAGGGACACAGCCAATTCGAGTCGTTCAGGTTCAAGCCGCCGATCCTTCTGGCGAACGAGTAGATGCCGCCACGGCTGCTTTCGCTCCCCAAGTACAAACTGTTATCCAAAGCCCATTTAGTAATGGCTCTTCCCCTACTCATACTGTGGAGGCTGAAGGTGCCGCAGATGGGGCTAGATTTACGTATTTTCAGGCGGCTGACGGTGCCACAACAGCCACAGTGGTTCAAGCCGGTGCAAACGATGCTTTAGATGGAACAAGCGCTTACACAGTGCGAAACATTCCCGTGTCGCTTACTCAACCATCTTCGCCTTCCCAAATACCAATTACAATGGCCGAAGCGCAGACTATCACCACTGTCGGTACTGCTACAGGTGGGCACATTCCCTCATTTAATTCAAATCGTCGATCATAACACTGCTGCGATTTGATTTTAACGTTTGAAGTATGAATTCAAGAGATCTTACTCTACTATACCATAGGTGGTTTTTACGTGATGATGTCTCCACAAGATGTTATGCCAGGCGGAACCCAACGGAACATAGCCCCGGCTATGACTCACAAAATATCCACGTGAGTGAAAAGCAATGGTGTTTATAGGAGAGGGAAAATTGTTTGACAAGAAATCTATAACTCGTATATAAGATGATATGTTGACTGTAGTATTTGCTCGTCTTTTCTGGATAATCTTTTATTTATAAGGAAATTTATTATCTCTACCTTCGTTTCTTCACTGAAGTTTGGTTGATTTTGCTTAAACCGGATATTTTTCTTTAACAGCTTTTAGTTTGAAATCTTAAGTTCCCTCCCGAAACATCAGTGAACATTGTTTAGGTGGTTTATTTTTACGGTTGTTGCTTCAAAGTCGATTTCTCAAATCGGAAAGCCTCACATTAAACCTCGGCGATGTAACATGATTCGAATCATCGATAGCTGTTGTTATGAGTCTACTTGATTCGTCTATTCGAAACCGTTCGCACTCGCAAAAATCGCTTAAACATCCTTAGAGATAATCAGTAAGTGTACTTCTGTCGAAGAAAGTTTGTAGTGTGTTTGGAATTTGCATTAGTTTTTGAATTGAGCGGCTTTGAGTCATGTGTTTCTGAACACATGATAGTTTGCGTGTCACATGATATTCTTCAATCATGTGACGGTCATGTTCGATTTCCTTAGCTTTCTCCCTCGTTCAAAGCAGTAAAAACCAGGCGAACGAAGGTTTGATTCATATTTTCCACCCTCGAACGGAGTGATAAAGGTTTCAAGATGGAGGTTGTGTATGTTTTAAGTAACTCTGTTGCTCTTAACAGGAAGTTGGATGCTCCGCGTACTGCCAGGGACGAAAAGAGGCGGGCGACGCATAACGAAGGTAAATTGATTAACCTCAAATTTTTGAAAGTTGTTTTGAAATACGATGGCAGGGAAACATTATGTTTAATATATCGTTATTTAGACGGAACTTTAGAGTATCTCAACACCGCAATTATTTAAAACCACTTTCTCTCAATGTAGATATATTCACACGATTTCCGATCGAAGTTTTGTTAAAATTCTTTTTCTGAAAGTGGTGTTACCAATTGAAAATAATCTTAGAAAGTTTTATGGAAAAAGCCGTTGTTTAGTAAATCAAAGATAGGTGTAGACGTTGACTGATCTCCAGGATTTTAAATTACTACGGATTGTCATACGTGACTTGAAAATGATAAAAGAAGACACAATCTTCAGTTTTGAAAAATGACAACTATTAGGTGTGTTAAGTGACAATTTGTCAAGTTAAGTAAATGTGGTGGACTCTGAGTTCATCGGTCTTAAGGTGCTGGTGGAAGTGGTTAAGATAAGCAGTGTTAGGTCAGTATTTTAACAGGCACTAGCCACTATAAATTTGCTTGGATTTTTTCTTTTTTGATCATGTGTTCTCCTTGTACTCTAAGAGGTGTGAGAGTAGCACACATGACATCCATATGACTTAACCACATGGTTTAAGCTGCCCACTTTTCTACTACTAAGTTATCAAAAAAACAAGTGGTTCAAAATTACAATTCCTTTTTTTTAATTTCAATGCAATCATTATCATCCCACTTTAGTGGAACGTCGCCGTAGAGACAAAATAAACTCATGGATCAACAAACTTGCTAAGGTTGTACCAGAATGTTGCACTGAGCAAGCAAAAGCTGGCCAGGCTGGTGGAGCACAGAATATTGTAAGTATTTCTGATTTTACTTCTGTATTTGCCATATAGTCTTCTTTGTAGCCATTCTGTGGGATGTCAGGTAACACTTCCCCAAGCTAACAACATTCCTTTGCATGAAAAGGCCAATCATAGAGAGCCGTCCATTTTTTTATTTGTGCCAGGTGTTGCCCTTTCATTCAAACAGAGTCAGAGTATTATAGCATCATGAGGAAAGAATCACAGGATTAGGGAGAAGTTTAGCAAAATTTATTAACTTGATCCTTATCATGTATGGAAGCTTGCAATGTAGAAATGTCATAGACAACCTTGCTTACACAATCACAGAAGTTAAGAATTACTTGTACTCTCCTGCCTAAGTTAGATTTTGTCTCTGACAACAATTTTTTTTTTGGGAGGGGGGGGGTGGTGTTGTCTTGGTTGTCAGTCTCAAGCAAAATCAAATGAGGAATTTGGGAAGTCTTTGTTTTGTCTGTTATTGACATCCATAATGAAATAATATCAACTAGAAATCTTCTCTGATGTACTCTTTTAGATGTTTTTTGAGAGAATAACTTGGTTTTGATTAAATCTATTTGTTGCTTTGATATTTGAAGTTGGAAATTTAGTGCACCCTTGAGAGTATATTCAGCATTTTGCACCTCTGAGTGAGAAATACTGAAATTGACTTTCTCTCTTGAAAATGATAGTTCAGATGTATCAGAAAAAAACTGAATTAGAGAACAACACAAGTCTCAGGATTTTTTTATGCTTCAAAGTGATTTTTATGACAATTATTGGTGGACTTTGAGTCTTTGACACCAACTGAGTATTTTGCTTTATATTTCCTTGTAAATGTATTACAAGAATTTGGTCTTTGATCAAGATAACTACTCCTACCCAGTATGTCTGGGGGTTCTCATTACCTGCTTGCTGAACAGTGATGAATATTATTGGGAGTATATTTTGTGTTGTTTTTCCTTCAATACATTGCCTCTTTCTTCTTAGCACTCAATTCATTGATTCTTGCTGGAAAAAAAAATAGATAAATGCTAGCCATACTGTTAACTTAAAAGACAAGCATTGTTTTTGGTGTTACATTTTTTCATGTGATATTGCACCAAGAAATTATTTTTCTGTTTTTTGTTTTTTTTTGCCTGGTAACTGTTTTGGTCACTTAATGTGGACTTTGAAAAGGGTGTATCATAAGTCCAAGGTTAAGCCTTTCTAAATTTCCTGTTTTTTGTTCTTGGTAAACAAACTATACTCTAAGGATAGCCTTTATTTACCCAGGAAAATAAATTGGTACCAAAAAATGTGGGGAAATTTAACAAAAGTATAAGATCCTAGACATGATCAATATACTAGTTCTCCTCACACTTTAATTAGAGTAATCAGCAAACAGGTAATAGGAATAGACGGCTTAATCATTAAGAAGGTGTTGCCTTGATTGTAGGACAGGCAACAGTTTATGTAGTAACAGGCAAAGGGAAGAACTACTTAATCAGATATATGGAGAAAATGCAGTGATATTTTTTCATGTTCCTTTGGCAGAGTAAAGGGGGCATTTTGTCAAAGACAGTGGACTATATCAATGAGCTGAAAGGACACAATGCACGAATGGCAGAAGCTATTAAAGATGCAGAAAGGTTTACAATAGACACAGAGCTCTTACGACAACAAGTTGAAGAACTTCGACAAGAGAATGCCCTGCTAAGAGCACAGCTTCAGCAAAATGGGACTGAACTAGCAACCACCGGGCAGGCTGTATAGAAAATGACTGTGAAACTCTGAGTTCAATGGGAACCAGTATTATTTATGGGATTCAGTTTGGTTCAAGAAAAAAAGCTCATCAGGTGACACAAAACTACACTGCGTAAAAGACAATAATTAGTTTTGGTTTTGGGGTTTGAGCATATTTCCAGAGCTATAGTTTGATTGGGCAATGTTCAATTAATCCTTTAAACCCTAAGAGTGATAAGCATTTCTAATTTCTCCCAACAGTCTTACCCCTGATTAAAAAACAGGGGCATGAGAGTAAAGGAAATGAGGGCAAATTTAAGAGGCTTTTTATTGTTAGACAAATTCTCCATGTAAGTACCATAGGAAGTGTCTAAAGAACAGTGTGGAGAATTTGATTCTGATGTTAGGGTGTTAAGGGTTAATGAAGAATTAATCCCAATCTCCATGGAGTTTGGCAGTAAAGGTGTGTACTTTTTTCAATTTAGTGGTCATCACCCTGTATATAAGCAAGTCATTTGACAGCAATCTCACAATGCCCCTATAATAAGGATTTAAATTCCTTACTCAGTCACTACTAAAGAAATAGTTTTAGGAGCAGTGCTTGTTTCAGAAAGAGCTATCATAATTATTTTGTCAGGTATGCCATGTTATATTTCACATCAGTAGAATTGTATTGCATGAATTTGGTACAGATTTGTCAGTTAGCAGGAGAATGTCAGTCTCCATACTGTAGAGTTGTTTTCTGTTTGTTCGTTTGTTTTCTAATATTTGGTTTAGGCTCAATTGCCTTTGGAGGGTAATTGGTTCCTTATTGTGAAATTGCAAAGACTAAAACAACTCATTCTTAAGTCATGACTATTACCTTGTGAAATATCAGGTTTCCAAAAGTTTTACTTTGCCAAAAATTTCATGTAACACAAGGTACTTTGCAACATACATTGTTATGATAAGGGTAGGTTTGTTATTATTTAATGTAAATGTGTGCAGTTGTAGAAAGTCACGATGTATAAAGAGAGGTCTATTCATAATTAAAAACTCGAGGAACTTGTGCTACAGGGGAATATATTAATGCAGTGCATTGCTGTTAGAAATATGCTGTCACTTGATTGTTAAATTTTGAATTGCATTTTAGAAGTTCAAATGCCCTCAGTCAGTGCCTTTTTTAGCAAAATGGAAGTTGTCATTGTGAGATTTCAGCAACTAGAACTGTGCTGTTTAAGATTGTATGCAGATCTCTGAAGCAAAATTTTCTTATTGTGTGTGACTGGTAACAGAAAAAATGTTTGGCTTTCTATCTCTGTGCCACACTGCCTGCATTTTAAAATACTCTGTCCAGTGTCACGACAACTGTGCCTCAAAGTCTAGAGGTTTGTCTTGGTTATTTTCAGTTTAAGAAAATTTGGCATTGGTTTCTTTTTTGGTTTAATATTTCAGTGTGGTATTTTTCTACCACACATATTTTGTGGCTACTTTAAACCACTTTGAACTATAATTTTTCAGGTCACAACAAATAAAAAAAAACTTGAGTACCTTTTTGTTAAAGGTGATGGTAAAAAGGAGTAAACTCTTGGATTTTTAACCAAATGGTTTTTGTCTTAACTCTTTAACTCCCAAGATCTCACTGGTAATTCTCCTTACTGTCTGCCAAATGATTCTCATTATACTAGTTTGGAGAATTTGGTATTGAATCAATTAGTAATCCCATAATTGATATTTTTCTTTATTCTCATCACTTGTCTGTGTGATATTGTATAGATATAATAAGGAGAAATTCTGTCTTGGTCAGTCACGGGAGTTAAAGGGTTAATTTAATCTCAAACCTCCTGAATTTGTTTTGAGAGAAGCTCTGTAGACGAATAATATCATATAGATTTAGGAAGTAAACTGAAAGAGTAAACATTGTACTGTGACAGTATATAAATAAAAAGTTCAAAAGTAATCTATATGGTTCTGTTTGATGTACTTGAAAACAACTGCTACTAAATTTTAGGTTCCGAGCCTGTGTTCCAAGAGAAAAACCAGAATTATTTCTCTTCTCTTCCATCGCTGGATGCGCTGACAATGAGAGGGGGAGAAAAAAGAGCGATGATGAATTGTTTTTTGGAAAAAACCCGCGAGAGACGTCACAAGCAAAAGTCTCCGTGATGGGCAAAAACATTTCACTTGGCAAACACTTACACAGGACAACAGTACCTTTTAATGAAGGCATAACTTTGTTTGATAGCCTGCGAGAAAATCGTCATTATTAGCGTTACAGTATATGTATCTTGTAATGTTTCTGAATGTTATAAAAGTATGTTTTAGGTAGTATTTATGGAAGGAAATTACGCGTAAGTGATATGTTAATGGTTTTAGTTGTGGGAAGTCCTGTGGGATTCGTTTTACTGATTCAGAGATTGCCAGTTCTGCAGAAACCATTCGAAGGCATCTCTCACACTTCCCTTTTTCTTATCGCGTTCTCTGATGCAAACTGTAGGAGTATTTATCTTTCTCAGTATTATATCGTAACCGATTTATTCTTATGGACCGCAATAAACGAGATGCTCCCCCCCTGGAACTGGGTGTCCATTTTAAAGAAGATTTATTTCAAAATATTTTATACTCGTTTTTGAGTTTCGTTTTAGAGTTGTTAGAGTTGTTTTTTTAGAGTTGTTTCGTTTGTAGAGTTTTAGAGTTCGTTTTCGTTTTCTTGCACGTGAGAAAGTTTGAGGCTTTGAGCAAAATTGAGCCGGCAGGGTCTACAGGGGGTTTGGGTTATTAGTGCGCAATGCCCCTTGCAGACCTTCCCCGGCTTGCTTTGCCTTCAGAGAAGAAGAAGCGCACGTGCCGCAGTGCTAATAACAGAGGGCCTCTTTGCACTTTATTTTTTTTACAGCATTTTTCGATCACCTGCATCAAAGTTTGACTCTCATTTGGCAGCATGATAAAGTTTGTGTTTCACACACTGACAGAAATGTAAAACTTTTATTTAGTGTCACTGAACCCAAACTGAAACGAATTGCAACGGGTAAAAGGGGCTGTACATCCATGTGAAGCCAATAGAATCCTAGTCTAAACACACCCAAACTCGTTTCTTTGAAAAAAGAATCTCTTCTTAAAAATTCTATGGAATTATAAATTGTTTTTGAAAAGTTAAATTCGAGTCGGAAACTAATCTTAAATGTCTTTACTCTGATCTGGTAAAGCTGAAAGTTTGACTACATCGATCGGCCTAAAAAATCTGGATTAGTGACGAATTGTTGTGGAACTTTAAGGTAAACTGGACGAAAAAAATCACTTCATGACAAAGCTCATTATCGTTTGACAAGAGGACAACCTATTGGGACCCATCATCAGTGTTTGTATATCTCGACAATTACCGGGGCCAGATTTGTTCATCTTATCAACGGAAACAGAGATATCAGTCATTGAAACAGCAGGAAAGTTTCCTAGTTTGCTTGGTCTGTTTTCCCTTCTTGTTCTCCATTGGTGAGGTTCTCTTTCCTGAAACAGATTTTCATCAAGATGTCAAGATTTGTCGCGTGGCAGTAGTAAGGACATTGTAACTGTTAAAGCAAAGCGGGCATACCACCCAATTGAGTCACAACCCCTGAGTTTTTTCTTGTTTATTATCTAGCGACTAGGGGCGTTTTTACATCCCTGAATTGGATGTGGTCCACTTTCTTCAGATTTTTTTAAAGGTTCGTTGATATATATATATATATATATATATCCCTTGCTAGATCGCACCAAAGACCCGGCCAGGGCTCGAACTCAGACCCCCTCGATCCACAGTTCCACTGGACCCCGGCGTGTCTTGACAGTCCTGTACTAAAACAACTACATAAAAGTATCCAATGAAAACTGTCTCTTCATAGAAAAGACGAGGATTAACGTATGAAAATCCTATTTTTAGTCGTGCAACAGAAAACAATGGCTTACTTTTCCAAGCTTAATTTTCCAAAATCAAACATGATGTCATCTCCAATCAATATGAATGGAGCCCAATCAGAGACATTGGTATAGCCGTTGTTTCTCATCCACTTCATGGCCTGGTAAAGACATTCACTGGCGCTATCTCCACGAGCAAGATGTTCATAGAAACGATTCATGAGCTGTTCTGTTGCTGTGTCTGATATGGCCCATAATGCAACCAACACCGACCGAGCACCGGATCCTAAGAACGCCCGAGCAATTCCGATTATTCCCTCGGCTTTGATCTGTCCACTTCCACTGTGACAGCAACTGAGTACAACCAGTTTAGCTCTAACTTTAACTTGTGATATCTCAGCCATCGTTAACAGGTAATCTTCTTCTTGTGGGGTGATATCAGGGCTGTCAGGAGTACGAATTGGGGAAAGGGCGATTTCTCCTCTTTCAGCATCGCCATGTGCAGCAAAATGTATTAGGCTCACTGATGTTATCTTCTCGATTACCGCCTGCTTCGTCGCTTGCTCTCCTAATAAAGGCTTTACGCCCATCAGTCGTCCAATCATCTCTGCTTCTTTCCTTGCATTAGGTAATGAGGTGATGTACTGAATACCTCCCTTGAACATGACCCAGCCAACTTTGGGATCACCCACAATCAGTGCATTAGTCTGACTATGATAGTGCACCGGACTGTCTTGAATTAGTTTCAGTGTCGTCAATGAGGGAATTGTACGGATTCTATGAGTTTCCGACAGAAATGTTCCCTCTACACTCAGGGCAGCAAATGGAACTTTGTATAAGCTTCTGTGAGGTACAATGATGACTTCAGGCTCCTCGAGTAAGTCAACCACTGGGGCGACAAAGATTTTGTAGCATAATGACAAACTGGTATTTTCTTCTGTGAAATTTTCGTCCTCTTCCTCCATAAGTCGTAATGCTGTGGAGTTCTCTTGCTTAAATGAAATTGATTGTGGCTCACCGACATTCAAAGATCGATCTTCGCAATCTTTAGCTGGCAAAACACCAATCTGTCTGAAACTCGAATTAACTAAAAATTGACTGACAGTCAAGCCTGCGGCAAATCCCAACTGAAGAAAGACCTTGTCGGCTGATACTCTTTTGAAATGAATGGCTCCACTTGCTTTCAAGACCCACAGATGCACAAAATTTTGAAAATAGGAAATGTACAGACAGGCACAGTTTGTTTCTTCTCTCATAATGTTTTCAATTCCAGACCACGACTGTCGATCAGCGGACGTGTGCGTTTCAACAGAGTACTTTTCTGCCATCAATTCTGCCAGGCCTCTCGCTCGCCCCAGCTCTTCAACATAAAGCGCATCGCGAGGATTTCCGTTGACTGAAAGCAACACGCTGAACATCGCGTAAGGAATTGCACCACTAACCTCCAAAATCGATGTTTTAAGCTGATCATTCATTCCAAGATGCCCACGCAACATTTCATATTTTTCAATACATTGATGGAGAGAAAGAAGCGAATCTTGGAGTCTGTCTTGGGAAAGTTGAAGCAGTGCATATCCAAGGTGGATTTTCATCTCAGCTCTACTACATCCAACATCTCTGGATATGGACAATCCCTTTTCCAAACATTCTTCCGAAACTTTAAAATCACCGAGCGATCTAAAAATGTTTCCTAGATTTATATAATCTGCTGTTTGCCCTTCTCTGTCACCAATTTCAATTCTGATGGCGAGCGCATTCTTGCAATAATCTTGTGCTTTGAGTATGTCGCCAAGCGAGTGGTACACAGTTCCCAAGTTTCCGTAACAAAATGCCTCTCCTTTCCTGTCGCCAATTTCACTTCTGATGGCAAGTGCTTTCTCTTGATATTCTATGGCCTTAACGTATTCCCCGAGCGAGTGAAACACTGTTCCTAAGTTTCCGTAATCTGTTGCTTCACCTGCTCTGTGGCCAATTTTAGTTCTGATGGCAAGTGCCTTTTCGTGATATTCTTTGGCCTTGGTGTGTTCTCCAAGTGAGCTAAACACAGTTCCTAAGTTTCCGTAAGAAAACGCTTCTCCATTTCTGTCGCCGATTTCAATTCTGATGGCAAGTGCTTTTTCTTGATATTCTATAGCCTTGACGTACTGACCGAGCGAGCTAAACATGACTGCTAAGTTTCCGTAACTTGCTGCTACACCTGATCTGTCACCAATTTCAAGTTTCATGGCGATTGCTTTTTGGATATATTCTTTAGCCTTAAAATTTTCACCAATCAAGTTAAAAGTAGCTCCGAGATTTCCGTAAAATGTTGCTTCTTTTCCTCTATCACCAATTTCCACACTGATTGCTATTGCTTTTTCGAAACATTGTTCAGCCTTGAAGTTGTCAGCGAGCGAGTTAAATAAGGTTCCAAGGTTTCCGTAACTCGTTGCTTCACCTGATCTGTCTCCAATTTCAATTGTGATGGCAAGTGCTTTTTGGAAATACTCTTTAGCTTTAGCGTAATCACCAAGCGAGTTAAACACGGTTCCTAAGTTTTCGTAATCTGATGCTTCTCCTCTCCTGTCTCCAATATCAGTTCTGATTGCAAGTGCTTTGTTTAAATATCTTTGCGCCTTCACGTATTCACCGAGCGAATGAAACACAGTTCCTAAGTTTCCGTAGTCTGATGCTTCTCCTTTTCTGTCGCCAATTTCAATTCTGATCGCAAGGGCTTTTTGGAGATATTCTCGTGCTTTGACGTAGTCGCCAAGAGAGATATAGACCTTTCCTAGGTTTCCGTAATCTGATGCTTCTCCTCTCCTGTCGCCAATGTTAGTTTTAATCGCAAGTGCTTTGTCTATATATTCTTTCGCCTCCGCGTATTCACCGAGCGAATGAAACACAGTTCCTAAGTTTCCGTAATCTGATGCTTCTCCTTTTCTGTCGCCAATTTCAATTCTGATCGCAAGGGCTTTTTGGAGATATTCTCGTGCTTTGACGTAGTCGCCAAGAGAGGTGTACACCGTTGCTAAGTTTCCGTAATCTATCCCTTGGCCTGCTCTGTCGCTGATTTCGATTTTAATGGCCAGTGCTCTTTCCATGCACTCTTTAGCCTTGTCGTATTCACCAAGAAATTGAAACATAGTTCCTAAATTTCCGTAATCTGTTGCTTCTCCTTCTCTGTCACCGATTTCAATTCTTAGGGAAACAGCTTTTTGTAGATATTCCTGTGCTTTCACTTGGTCACCGAGCGAAATGAAAATTGTTCCTAAGTTTCCGTAACTCGCTGCTTCTCCCTTTCTGTCACCAATTTCAATTCTGATTGCAAGCGCTTTTTCTTGATATTCTTTAGCCATTTTGTAGTCACTTATTGACCACAACACTGTTGCCAAATTTCCGTAGGCTGTTGCTTCGCCTGATTTGTCGCCGATTTCAATCATGACAGCAAGTGCTTTTTCTTGATATTCTTTAGCCTTGACGTAGTTACCAAGCGTCTCAAAGACAGTTCCTAAGTTACCGTAATTTGACGCTTCTCCTTCTCTGTCACCGATTTCAACTCTGATCGCAATGGCTTTTTCGAAACATTCTTCAGCCTTGGCAAATTCACTTAGCAAGCAATTCAAATTTCCTAAGCTTTCGTAATCTGATGCTTCTTCGCCTCTGCCATTAGTTTCAGTTTTAATCGCAAGCGGCTTGTCGCAATATTCTTCGGCCTCAAAGTGTCTACTTGACGCACCCGCAATACCACTGAAGTCAGATGCCTTTTCATTTCTGTCGCCAATTTCAGTTCTAATAGAAAGGGCTTTTTCGTGAAATTCTTTAGCCTCGACGTACTCACCAAGCGACCTACATACAGTTCCTAACTTTCTGTTATCTGATGCTTCTCCTCTTCTGTCGCCAGTTTCAATTCTGATGGCAACTGATTTTAAAAGATAATCTTTAGCCTTGACGTAATCCTTCAGCCACCAAAACACCGTTCCTAGGTTTCCACAATCTGATGCTTCACCTGTTTTGTCACCAGTTTCAATTCTGATCACTAGGGATTTTTCTAGATATTCTTTAGCCTTGACGTATTCACCTAACCAAAAAAATACATCTCCTAAGTTTCCACTATTTGTTGCTTCCCCTTTTTTGTCTCCAATTTCCCTGCTTAGGGCAAGCCCTTTCTCGAAAAATTCTTTAGCGCTGATGTATTCACCGCGCGACCGACATGCAGTTCCTAAGAATACGTAATATGATGACTCCCCTTCTCTGTCGCCGATTTCAGTACTGATCACAAGTGCTTGTTCGATGTTTTCTTTAGCTTTATCGTATTCGCCGAGCGACCAAGCCACCGTTGCTAAGTTTGCGTAATCTGTTGCTTCTCCTCTCCTATCGCCAGTTTCAACCCTGATGGCAATTGCTTTTACGAGATAATCTTTAGCCTTTGTGAGTTCACCAAGCGACCTACACACAATTCCAAGGGTTCCGTAATTCCTCGCTTCACCTTCTCTGTCGCCGATTTTGATTCTGATCCCAAGTGCTTTTTCTTGATATTTCTTCGCCTTGGCGTATTCACTGAGCAAATATAACACCGCACTTAAGTTTTCGCAAACTGTTGCTTCTCCTGATTCGTCCCCAACTTCAACCACAATGGCGAGTGCTTTCTGAAAGTACTCCTGAGCTTTGACTTGGTCGCCAAGTGAGCTGAACACAGTACCAAGATTTCCGCAATCTGTTGCTTCTCCTTTCCGGTCGCCAATTTCAATTTTGATTTCAAGTGCTTTTTGGAGACATACTTTAGCTCTGACATATTCTTCAAGCGACTTATGGATCATTCCTAAGTTTGAGTAATCTGCTGATTCACCCGATCTATCGCCAATTTCAATTCTAATCGCAAGCGCTTTTTCAGTGTGTTCTTTAGCCTCGACACATTTATGAAGGAAAAAACACACAGTTCCCAAGTTTCGATAACATAATGCTTCTACTTCTTTGTCGCCAATTTCAGTTGCGATGGAAAGAGCTTTTTCGTAATATTCTTTAGCCTCGGCGTATTCTCCAATGAACCTGCACACAGTTCCTAAATTTACGTAGTACATAGCTGTACTTTCTGAGTCGCCGATTTCAATTTTGATCGCAAGAGCTTTTTCGAAATATTCTCTAGCTTCAGCGTATTCACCACGAGAGCAGAACACCATCGCTAACTCTTCGTATTCTGATCCTTCTTTGGTTCTCTCGTCAATTTCAATACTAGTGGCGGGTGCTGTCTCGGTATACGAGTCTTCCGAAGAATCTTCGGAGGTCAAACAGCACGCGCAGATCATGATAATGTTTTTTCTGGTAACAGGTATGGCGACTTCCTTTAAGGTTTACTGTTCGCTGCGATCTGGCAGAAAAACTGTAACTTTAACCAAATAAAGGGTAAAAGGAATTAGCGACTGATTTCAAAGTTGGTGACAGACATTATCGGTTGCACAAGAGATACCAGGCAGTTTTGGGATTATTATCTTACTACTCAGTACTCATTCAGAGAATGAACTAGCCAATCAGCGCACGCGAAACCGTTATTTTTCTATATGGTATACATCAATTGCACATATTTATTTCGTAATGGCGGATGGACGTTAATATGGCTTCACGGGTACACATCTCCTTTAAACTTTTCTATTTTGGGTCCAACGTTGGTGAAGAGCTTGACGCTTGACGTTGAAATTGTTTTATACCTTGGTTAGTTTCCCGACTGCCTCCGATCGCGCAGAAAATTCAACGAAAATGACAATCACAGCTCTTCCTTAGGACCTGTCTTTATTCATCACTTGGCGGTGAGGTGGGGTTGGTTTGGGGGATTTTGATCTTGTGACGACAAAATTTCCCAATCCCCATAGGGCTCTGTAATATTCTTTTGATTTCCCTGTCATTGGCAGATAATTGGCAGTCAATTTTCCACATCTCCCTCTTTATATTCTGCTGGCAACGACTCACCCCCTTCCGTTTCCTCTGAAAACCATGTGATCCCAAAAATCCTCCACCCCTCCCCCCAGGCGATAAAAAAGGGCTGTTCCCTCAGCAGGGAACCCTGAACCCGCATGTAACTTACATACATTAGGTTAATTTGCCGTGAATGTTTACTGGATGATCACTGAGGCTCACAGCCACAGCGTTCTCTCCAATGATACTTGATTCGAAGTAATTATCTATTATAAAAATTATGTTGTTTTCTTTCTGCATGACATCAACGTTTTGGTGTACCAACAATTAAATTAGCATGTATTGTAAAGTAGAGGTAAAAATTTGAAATCTCTTTCCATTGCCCTATCCCTAGAGGTCGGAGAATGCTGCTTTTGTTGAAGTTTATTAAACCTTCTGGCTTTTTTCGTTTTCTCTCATTTTTGAACGACTAAGAATAGTTTTCTTTGCATTTTCCCTTCTTCAGGAGAAAACAGATTTAGAAAGCAATTGCGTAATTTGGGTGCGATTGAAGTTACGAAGAAAGTTGGGTATATCTGACGCAAGTCGTCGAAAATGGGCGGAGAAATACGATTACAATCAATCGGCGCCGATATTGCCAAGATTTTTTTTTTCAAAAAATTAAGAAACATTGTCATTGTGAGGTGTGCACTCATCAAAATTAAAAAACATTTGCTTCTATCCGTCTCCCTGAATGATACTTTGCATGCGGTCTGTTAATTTACTCTAAAAACCTTTCCGAGTTCAGATCAATAATACACAATGGCATCCAAGAATTTTCACAAATTACTCAGCAAGAAACAGTACCAAGCAATTAATAGCGAGCCCACTGCAATATAAAAAATATTGTCTCAAGCAGGTTGCAACATCAGAAATATTACTGCAAGCAGGTTGCAATATTAGAAACATCACAGTGCAGCTACACCACTGCGATATTGAGCTTTTTTAGCTCGCTTAGGATTACCCCTGATAAATAAAAAAATCCGTTTTCCTCAGAAACTTGGACTGGACTGAAATCTTAAAAAGACTTCACCAGCCAAAGAAGATGAGTTATAAGGAATGAACACTACTTATGAAGCTCGGAACAGTTTCGCGACCTCCTGTTAAACGGCAGCATCGAAAAGATTGTTTAAGTTCAATACACCACAATATGGTAGTATTACAACAACTCTTGTATTTGATGTTGAGGGACATCATAGGACATGTGACGGAAAAGGCTTCGTAGAAGTGGTCTTAAAATGACTTTTACGATGTTGGTACAAAAAGGCAGAGGCCAGAAGGACTCGAGACAAAAGTTTACCAAATAGCAGTCAGGCCTTGCTGTAAGAACTTTACTCACCGGCATAATATCACTAAAATTCGCCTTCATGGCAAAGTAATACCCCATTCAAACCAGTAAAAAATATGTTCAGTTAAACCAGGTGTATCTAGATGAAAATCAGACACTGAGAACTGAAAAGCTGAATTTTTCTTACAATTCATATAATCACTGACTTGTATTTTAAATATGCTAAATTTCAGGTCGACAAACATTGGTTTAAGCAGCTTCTATGAAAGAAAATAATTTTACACCGTGTTTAACAAAACAGCTTTAAACATGTTTAAGCTTTGGTGTGAATGGTTCATAAGTCAAGCAAGACTTACAAAAGCATTTTCGTATTCGTACTTACCAGTATGTTGACTTCACGGTAATTGCTTTCAAATGTGAAACTACGGGAAACTAACCAAACAATTTGGTACCTATATTATACCGACATTCTTAAACTTGCGTCAATCTACCATGAGTCAGCGCCTTTAATCATTCTCAGATACACTTGTCTTGGATGAAAAAACAGGTCTTCTTTGTTGTTGTTTTGATAAACGTAGCAACGCTAGATTCTTTGCTTCTAAACAAAGAACAATTAGCGGTGAAATGATATTGTATCCCGGCAGTTACGTTCATTTGTTTAGTGTTAACAGTGTTAAATAAAGCTCACACTAGCTTAACTCCAGTCTGTGTCAGGGAACTTTGGAGAGTGCTCTCCCTATTGAAACAAAACAGTTTCCTTCCACACCAGAAAACGAATCAATGATTTCCGTTCATAACTCAGGAAAGACCGATGGCAGAATCATTTGAAGGCACCCAAGGCAAGAGAATATAAACTTATATAAACTTATATTCTCTTGACCCAAAGGCATGTACAATGTAGGCCATGTCTAATCATACCACCGAAACGTAAAAAAAGTACGAAATGTTTTCCGTCCAAGATGAAACGCCAATTCGGCGTTTGTAGCTTTAACTACTTTAAAAGCGGGTGGTCCTGTTTCCGAGGGGCCAATTCATGCGAATCGTTGTTGACGGAAAGTCCAACCGTAATAATAAAGTTGCATTTTTAAAATGTATCCGAACGAGCCAAATGAATGTGATACAGCCGCGCGCAATCTGATTGTTTTTTCTCCTCTCTGGCTGTTACACGTCTCCTTGTCAATAAAGTACGATAATTTGGTGTTAGATTAAGATAATAACTTCTATTTGATAAGTTTGAGTATTCTCATTATCTGTTTGCTGGATAATGTAAGGATGTTAGAGGGATAAAGTTACACATCAGTACGCCATGGCGCGCTCAAAGCCGGAAAAACCCGTGCGGCCTTGCGAGATGTGAGCTGAACTAAGAAAAGAAGAACGAGAAAGAGCAAAAACCATAATATAAAACGCCTATAGACTGATTAAGGTCGGGTCGGACGGGAAAATATTTGCTCTCGGTTATGAAGTCCCCCGGGCCCATTTTTTCCCGTTCAGCTCATCCACTACAATCATTACTTAACCGAACACCATCTTTCCCTTTGAAATCAAAGATTGAGAGACACCATGTTATTTCACAAAATATGCCTTTTAATCATCCGTCTGAGACTTGTAGCACCAGAATAATTTATATCTACAATAATTTTAACCAGCTCACCCACTTCAATTTTAACAAGTGCATAGAGTTACTTAAAATCTACAAGCTTAAAGCTCTGAAAATATTTAACTGATCAAGCATCGAGTAGAATCAACACTATTTACAAATCCACATCACCTTCTACACAGAAATAGCATTAGAGCAATTTTCAATTGGATGTCGAAAGTAATCCGGGCTTTTTTGTCTCTGCTTTATTTCATTGTGTGATTGGTCTAAAAATACTGGTACCGCTTTGCCAACAAATCAGATTCAAAACTGAACCCAATCGCGACTTGGTCACTCGCATTTTCCCGCGCTTCGAGCAGTTTGCTTGTTTTTACCCCAAGCTCTCATTGGCTATTCGTGATATTTTCCTTACTTTGATTGGCTGTTGAGATTCCTTTGGTTTCGGTTTGGCGACATTCAATCGAAAAGCATTCTTTAAAAATATATTAATATTAGGTATTTCATAGAGAACTAAATCCGTTCGTTTACTCTATAGTTAAATAAGGTGAAATTTGCTAGTTAAAAAATGCCCTTTCGCTTTACACGAAAACTGGTCTTAATATTTTAGTCAACTAAACATAAGAATGATATTTCCGATATATATCATCCTAATGCTCTAAAAACACGATAATTACATTCTTTAGGAAAAAGTAACGACAAAAAGATCCCGGCAAATCTTTTCTGCATTTTTATCCGAAGCTTAGGACATTTATAATAGAAAGCTCCTTCGTTTAGATTTGATGGATAAAAGTTTCAGGATTCACAGATTGAGCTAAACCAAATCTATGTATCCTACCTTAATCAATCCCGTACTGTGTGTTCTTTTGAGAAACTAAATCAACGATAGCACCCCTGTATAAAAAAGATACGACTCCTTCAAGAAATAATTTGAGTAGTTGATCACAAACTTGAAAAAAAAAAGATCCCTGTTACTGTAATTCGCTACGCAAAATAAGTGAGGCAGTGACTGGTTGTTTAAGCAGAAATTTCTAGCAAACAATTAGGAGTCTTTCATAAATTCAGTAAATAAATACTTTATGACCGGAGAAAAACTCATTTATGGCCAAGAAATTCAAAGGTCACCTTAACGAAAACGTTGTTATCTTGCTTCTAAAACGCAATGCTTTCATGTTATGCAAAGCTCTGTAGCTACAGCGTGACAACTCAAATGCGAGGACGTGATTTGTCACACAACTCTTGAGTTATATGTGACGCGTGATTGAGTTGTCATGTCACATGGTAATGCAGTACGAGCCCATAGGACATGGTCCGCCTTTGAGAAGAAAATTCGAAGAACACAAGAAGTCACACGAAACTTCCCATAGTAGAGCTATGGTTGAAAAAAGGTCTTGTCGGTGAAAAAGGGTTTGGCAACGAACCAAAAGAAAGCTGGTTTCCTGTGAGAGACTCCACTCCGAACGAGCCGGATCCTT